AAACACACACACACACACACACACACACACACACACACACACACACACACACACAGTGGCCTATTTCCAGAATGACTCTACCATTTTTTCACCATAGAAGATGTGCTTTAGCTATACCAAGAAGAAACATAATGGGAATAACATCAACTCAACTTTTCTTTTCTGTTCAACATTTTTGAAAATTACCACATAAGCAAAAAAAGTAAAAGAGAACTTGGAAGTGAAACATATGCGTGTAAATTCAGAGCAATACCAAGAGGAAGCAGAAGTTGCTAATATGGTTTCAGTATTTTGTAAATGAGCCAGCTGGATGGATGATAATTTTTCTACCCCTGCAGGGCATCAAAGCTTTTAGGAAATCATTCTTTTCACACATATTAACACTTAGCTTATTAAAACAGATGATACTTTTATTGTAAAACAGCCTGGGTAGAGGCTAGAAACATAAAATATGAAAGATAAGGCTCATTTTGACCACCCAATCTGACAAACAGCAAACACTGACATGACAGACCATGGTGGAGATGATGACGTAGCAGGACCTTCTGTAACTGCCACAGTTGAAGTGTCACCATGAAGCCCGTGAACTGCTGTTATGAAAACATTTGCAGAAACTTGCATAATTAAATGAAACTGCCAGAAAAGCATTTCTAAAATGCAGAGAAGATGTACATAAATAAATACAGTTCAAAGCAAATACTACATTTCAGGATCAGCACTGTAGTGAATTATGCCAAGTTATGTCACAAGCAAAGTACCATTTCCTTTGAACTGACTGCTGAATAATTACAAATGAGTGACAACATTGTTGTTGAAATGGACTGCTCTCTTAGTCTCTTTTACAGGTACTCGGTGAATGAAGCTTGCTGATCAGGCCATCTAAAACCACAACCTCCCCGTTCTAGGAGCTGCCATGCCTCAGTGAAGACCTTCATGAGACTACAGCAGTATTCTGTTAGCAAACGTCAGTACTGGAAAGCAAGATGAAAATGCACACTAACAGTACAGTGGCAGATATCTGCCTTTATTGCAGCTTATTTCTTTGTTTAAATGAAGACTATCATACTGACTTAAGAAAAACTTTTATAGTAGGGGCCAAATCCATTACAGTCTGATTCTGTTTATGGACTGCTTTAAAGGCAAGTGATGTAAACTATACACAACGGTAAACTGGATATCACCTTGCTTGCTAAAATTAACCTTAGAAGGATTTTGAGACTCTCACTCTAATAGTGACAGTTTCCAAGTATAGAAAAAAGCCAGTTAAGGCTTCTGTCAGCAGTCAAAGAAATAAAATGGTTAACTATATTAGCTGCGTAGAAGAAAAAGAAATAAAAAAAGAGAGTCTGCTTTGCAGACATACCATCAAAGTGTAACTGTTTCCTTCACAGTACATCTGCAAAGCCAGCATGATTTGCAAGGGTACTTACATCAAACAACTTTTCTATATACATTTCCTCATTGACCTTTTCTCGAAGAATATCCTGGTTTTGCCGAACAAACATAATATAGGTGTCTGCCAGATCCATTCCTGGTTTCTGTTGTGAGGGAAAAGCACAGGGAATAAAACAATATCACGTCTTGATTGTGAAAATGTTATTTAATCACCATCCTAGAAAATCATTCCTTATATCCTTTCAAAAGTTACAGTAGAAAAATATGCTTAAGATCAAATCAACAATGGACACCTTCAAATTCCATAATTAAAGTAAATGAAAGTTTATTATTGAGGTCTATAACTTGAGTCATAGTTACTTATCATTATTAAGATGATTAGAAATATGTGGTTGTAAGCTAGTAGATACTCTTTTTTTTTTTTTTTTTTTTAATGGCTAACTTGCTAGGTCAATATGCCAAGCAGTATAAATGAATACATTTTTCAAAAAAATTCCCACATGCAATAATCATTTCCTAATTGTAAGTTCAATTTCCTTTTCATCATTTCTGGCTGGTTTATCCATATATATTTTTAAAAATGTTAGCTTTCCTTGGTTTGCCTTCCTCGACTACTATGGGCGTTCAAGGGATACAAAATAAATTTTCTTATTAGGAAGATATTGAACAAAAAATATTTAATGCATTACAAAGTGAAATGCAAATCAAAATTCTGTGGGCTATCCATTGCTTCTACTCATCCATATTTATCAATACTACCTCAAGGATTTATATTATTTTAGAAATGCAATAAGAATATTGATGAACTAGTCTCCCATGAAGAGCCAAAGGTGTGGATTAGATAAGTTTCCAAAGTTACTCAACGTTTGGTGTCTTCTAATATTAGACAAGATAAGGCAGTTAATAGAATTCCTCCTTCCTACAGAGTCTACAGAATCAGCACCAGGGAGGGACAAAAACCTGAATGGCTCCCAAAGAGTTTTCCTTCTAAATTTATCTCTAGTTCTTCTTTTAGTTTCACATAGCTGGACTAGATGATCTGTATACTCTATACCTGGGGTTGATTCATAGTCTACACTGAGTAATTCATTTAATTAGAATAGGACAATAATAATGATGAAATGGTAGAATTGATGCCCGAATAAGTCAATGTCAGTCGTGCATAATTTCGTATCTACAGGATGCACTTACAAACTCCATCAATGGACTCTTTGTAAAAGTAAATAATATAAGGAAACTAGGTGAAAGAGGATATGAATCATTTAACTATTACTACTGCAGGAAAGACAAGATATACATCTGAGTGATGCTAGGACAGTAGTAGTGCCTTTTCCTTAAATGAAGGACAAAGTTCTTATCACTTCTTTTTCCGGGAGGGGATTGTATTTTATGTATTGATACAATGATAAAACTGCCCATCTCTTAACCAGTGCACAGTATAGACATCGGGCATATCTCATTAATACAAATTAATTTGAGTTTTTGGTAACAAAGTTATTTCTGGGCAATGAAAATCACAGAAAGTTCTTATATATTTACCTCTTATATTTAGCCTAAAGGGAAATTTATACCACATGGACGGAAGGATCCTTTCAAACATAACCTTGAGGAGGCTTCCCTGGTGGCGCAGTGGTTGAGAATCTGCCTGCCAATGCAGGGGACACCGGTTCGAGCCCTGATCTGGGAAGATCCCACATGCCGTGGAGCAACTGGGCCCGTGAGCCACAGCTACTGAGCCTGTGCGTCTGGAGCCTGTGCTCCACAACAAGAGAGGCCCGCGCACCGCGATGAAGAGTAGCCCCCGTTTGCCGTAACTAGAGAAAGCCCTCGCACAGAAATGAAGACCCAACACAGCCAAAAAAATAAATAGATTCATAAAACAAAAACCATAACCTTGTTATAACAAAATTCGTGACTAGCTATAATCTGAAACAACTATTTATATAAATGTCTTCACTGATCTTTCCTTCCAGAGCATCCATACACAATGTAGGAAATATATCCCAAACTTAATGGAGACAACTTACCAAATTCATGCCTTCACTATTTTTCTACATAATTCTCATAAGCAATGTCTGAAAGTTTAAATAATTACAAGGCTACTCAAGAGAAGCCTAGGTTATTTTCTTCTTTGGGGGCAAGGGGTGTTATACGTAAGTTTTTCCAGTAGAAAGGCAGGGTAATTTGTACAAGACTACTAACTACTATTAACGGTTGAAGACAGCTAGCCCATAAGATAAGGATTTCTCTCCATGCCTCTCAAATTTGTCAAGACACTGAAAGTGTGAACATTCAGAAAGGATACTGCCGCAGAATGAAAATGACAGGAGAACGACTTTCTATACATGATAACAAGTCAGCTCTACATCTGAGTTTCAGTCAGGTGCCTAGAAACAAAATACTGTGATATGTATATAATACCAAGGCGGCTGGGCACAGCCCAGAGGAACTGAGAGTTAAGAATCAACACATGAGAGGCGTGCCTCCTCCACCATTTTCCCCCACCGCTACCCCATTTTTATTTCTGCCTTTCAAAAGAAGAGTACGCTTAGAAGTTTAAACTAGTCGATCACTTGACCCATCAGACTCACTGGAAACTGAGTTACAGCCAGGAGAAAATGGAGAATGATGGCTTTAAACACTTGCCACAGACCGGAAGGTAATTTTTTTCCCATTTCCTTGATCACTTTTAAGATAACATTAGACATCATGAAACACTGTCCAGGAAGAATTTATCTTTTGTCATCTAAAACTAACAAATACTTTTACAGTTTAAGCCTAAGAGAAAACTCAGTGCTATTCCCTTCCGCAGACCCGAGGGATATAATACTGAAATCTGTAAGCTGAGACAGTTCTACAGCTCTCTAAGAAAATCACAACCGTGGTTGAGGGTGTGAAGTAAAGCTCATTTAAAAGTTTATTTCAACAAATTAAGTGTTGTCTTTTTCTTTTTTTCTTTTTGAAATTACATTTTCTCCCCTTTGGCAAATTAAGATCCACTTGCCAGAAAACAAAACCTACAATTCTTACATTCCTCATTAGCATTATTTCTTCCTTTATCTTTGAGCTGTTTACGTATTCTTGCAACTGTGACATACGGGAATTTCACACCTAGTGAATATATTTTCATGTAGCTTGTGGCATGAGACTATAATCATTAAAAGAATATACACAAGTAAGGATAACTGCAACAGCTGGTGACATTTACCAATTAGAATTATAGTTCTTTAAAACCCTTTATCCTTCCTTTGGTGTATGAAGGGTAAGTATCTCTGATAAACTGCTGAAAAAGATGTAATTTTCCTTTTAAACAGTTTCTACTTACAGTACAAATGTGTTTGGATAGAAGACATTATCGCTGGTTCAGTGCTCCTTTGTGCAGACTCTGTTTTATGGCAGTAAGATCTACATATTTTGGAAGTCACTGCGTCTCATTCCATTATTACATGTTATCTTATTAGGAAATAAAGTTTAGTTAAAAAAGCAAAAAACTGAACACACTCAGTTAAGTTTTTGTTTGCTGGTGTGTAAATGAAAAGCATGCATGTGACTGCATCACCAGGTAGAATATTGCTACACATTCTGGTGCAAGTGGGTGTCTCCAACCTTATCAAAGGAGCAGCCTGTTAAACTTCAACAACTGTAGATCTGGATGAATTTTTATCAAGGATATTTTGTTCTGGAGAGCTACATTTAGAAATCTTTGCTATATTTGTAATTACAGTTTTCTTAATGAATGAGAAAATAACAATTAAAAACCACAAAGCGAGCACATTATGTATTTAATACCACTAAGAGAGAGTAAATGTTGTTTTTCATTCTCCCATTTAAAACTTTGAGATCACGCAGCGTAGAGAATGGGATTGAGGACACAGGGTCGGGGGAAGGGTAGGCTGGGACGAAGTGAGAGAGTGGCATGGACATATATACACTACCAAATGGAAAACAGATAGCTAGTGGGAAGCAGCCACATAGCATGGGGAGATCAGCTCGGTGCTTTGTGACCACCTAGACGGGTGGGATAGGGAGGGTGGGAGGTAGACACGAGAGGGAGGGGATATGGGGATATATGTATATGTATAGCTGATTCACTTTGTTATAAAGCAGAAACTAACACACCATTGTAAAGCAGTTATACTCCAATAAAGATGTTAAAAAAAAAAACAAAAAACTTTGAGATCCTCAGTTCATTAAGCACTAACTTCTCCATCTTGTTTCTTAGGGTAGTAATCTCTAAATCAAAATAAGCCTTCCTGGATTGCTTCTAATTCGATTCAGAAAAGAACAGAATTTGGCTAACGAAGTTATAGTAAAAGGATACAAATATCTAAAAACATTCCCCCACGAGCATAAAGAAATCAAATATGGATGGGAATGGAGTATGGTAAGGTGAGCTCCTCTGACTTTGGCTGCATGATAGAATACACCAGCGAGGGAATGAGTTTAAGTAAGGATGCAGACTCCACCAAATTTTTTTCGAGCGCTAATCACTGGTTAACCCAGTGAGATGAAAATGCCGTTTAAAAAAAAAAAGAAAAGCAAAAAATTCCTTGTTAATTACACACTGCAAATGCTCTTACTTCCTGCTGCTACACCTAATCCCACAGGTGCAAGTCTTCACTTTCCCCATTCATGGGTGGGTGGGTGCAATGCTGCAGACATTTTTCACAGCTACAGATTTAGATACAGAAGAAGCCCGTTTAACCTTCCACAGGAGGTTAACAATACACTATGCAAACACTGTCATGGTGTCTATTTAACAAGGAGACAAATTTTTTTTTTTTTCCCCCTGCGGTACGTGGGCCTCTCACTGTTGTGGCCTCTCCCGTTGTGGAGCACAGGCTCCGGACGCGCAAGCTCAGCGGCCATGGCTCACGGGCCCAGCCGCTCCGCGGCATGTGGGAATCTTCCCGAACCGGGGCACGAACCCGTGTCCCCTGCATCGGCAGGTGAACTCTCAACCACTGCGCCACCAGGGAAGCCCTCCCACTAGGTTTTAGTCACTGATCCTAGTTCTATCCTCTTGATTGATACAGACTGAGGCTTCTTTAAATGGGAACTCCATGTATTAAACATGACTCTCTTGTCTCTTAGCGTTTTCCTCTCTCAAGGATAATATTCCAATTTCCCTTTTTTTCTTTAT